TACGTCCAGATGTGCACAGACGTGTGCACATCTGCATGCTGATGTCTATATACCAGTGAAACCCTGGGCAAAACCTTTGACTGACAGCCAGCCCCAGGTTCAGCTTGGAAGAGAGCCGGAGATTCGGCCCCTACCACCAAGTGCTCACCCTCAAACAGGGGTGAAAGCCTCCACCTCCTCTTGGGTCTGCAGAACAGCCCTGCCTTGCCTGCACAGGCTGGGGAGGAAAGGTGAAGCTGAACTGGTGTCTCGTGGAGCCTGGAGATGCGGAGCCCATGGAGACATGCAAACAAGTCTCCTCCTCCAGCTCGTGGATGGTATTTTTCTACCAGTTACTCATTTTCAGCACTTCGGGTGCGAGCTCCAAAGGCTTCAAAAGAAAGGCTCAGATTTGGCTGCAGTCTGATGGAGGAAAAGAAAAACTCAAGCAGTTCAAAACAGATTTTTAGTTTTGGTGTGATTTCACTCCTTTGTTTTAAAAACCAAGTGAAAGGTTATCATACTTGTCATGAACACATCCTAACTACGAATGGGAAGCAAATACGGTGTTCTACAGCCAGACACAGTTAGGAAGTGGATTTGGTACCTGAAAGCATACCGGTGTAAGAACAAGGCTTCAGAACGAAGGCTGAAATATAGCCAGTGGTTACCTTACTTAAAAACAAAGAATAAAATCAGAAACACATTTTCAGAAAGCCGCAAACCCAACCTGTCACTAGAAGCGCACAAAGGCCCCAGCTGTTCACACCCAAGTAAAGGTGCAGCCTGCAGCTGGATCACAGCAGGGGAGCATTCTGATGTTAGCTCCAAAAAAGGGACAGCAAAACGAGCGCTTTCTTTCGCAGCAGACACAGCAGGATCTGAGCGCTCACAAGGTTCATTTGTCAAGCTATCACCTTCATTTAAATCCCTTCACAAAACTCCCTCGTAAGCAGGAGGTACAGAAAAATCCTACGGCAGAAATTTCAAGATGTTCACATCTCAGAAGAATGAGAAGGCACAAACTTAACTTCCCCCCCTCCCCCCCCAGCCTTGTTCCTTCTGCCACTACTGTCAGCCTCATTTACATCACGTCCAATTTTAGCCTGCAACATCTTCTGGGTAGCTAGCTTGTCTCTTTAAATATTGCTCTGAAGTTTACAGTGCACTTTGGGTATTACACACATAAATAATCAAGTCATAAAGTAAAGAAGATTTGTTGCTACTGCAAGAGGAGCACCAGCCCCCTCTTCAAGGGGAAGAACATTTATGCATCTAATCTGTGTTTTCTATTGCAAGGATGAAAAGAAAGTAACCTCCCCTTCCTAAACCCTAAAATCAGAAACACTTCATACTGGGACCTGCAACGCTACAGGAGAGAGAGGTTGGAAGAGCCTCAGCAGATGATGCACATCGACTCCCTCAAGGCACACAGCCGACGCTGCAGCTGATTGCCTTTTCCTGTGGGTTGGGCTGCAGCTGAAAGAGCAGTGAGTCCCAAACCACAGGTCCCCACCCCCTAACAAATTCTAAAATAACAGCCACATTGCACACCATGAGCCAGGCAGAAGCAGGATTTGCAAGTGGCAGAGTCCAGAGACACCTCATCGCGTATCAGTTCCCTCCTCTTCCTCTTGAAGGAAGAGTGGTAGCAAACTCCAGCAAGTCAGCGCGGCTGTTCTCAGCTCCAACTAGCTCAGCCTCTGCCTTGGAGGAAGGAATTCTGGACCTCACTCTACCCAAAATACCAGTGCTGCCTGACTGTACTCACAGTATACATCCCCTGGTCCCAGAGAGCTCCTTCTGGGGCAGAGAAGCGGAAGGCAGTCGCAGCAGTTTGTATTCAGGAAGTGGTTTTAGTCCTGGAGCTTGCAAAACCTTCGAAGGTTTTGCTCTAGTAGCAGCAGAATGTGGTTAATAACTTAGTGTTGCGCTAAACGGGTGAAATCTCAAGGTGTTAGAGAGGATTGTAACCGCTGCTGCACATTATTTTGAAGTCAGTGAGTGTGCACTCTTAGGTGGTCCTGGTTAAATTGGGAGAGGTCAGGAAGAGCTACCTGGTTATCGCAAACACTGGAAGAACACGAGAAGGACAAAAAATGGGATAGTTAAAACAAAAATCTCCCTAAACTCACCCCGATTTAGCTCATTAACAAAGTACAAAAAGATATGCTAAACAAGGAACCTGTCTGAACAGTGTAAAGCCTCGCTGATAACCCATTATTTCTCTGTTTAAGAAAAGCTTGAGCAAATTACGGATCTAAGGCTACAATTCTCCAGATAATACCTCAGCAATATATACACCGTTTGGCAGAAATGACCAGATTTCATTTAAGTTATCCAGAGGGAGGAAACGAAAGCACACAGACCAGCATGGGATAGAGGGGAAAGAAGACAGAACCTTATCAAGCACGCATATGTACTTCAGGCAGAAGCCCTGCTGAAACTATTCAGTGGTTTCTCACTAAAAGATTCAGCTCCCACTCCAACAGTGCATTTCCCTTTCCAAAGCCTCCTTTTCCTTCTGAAATAACTACCTCATAGCATCCATAGAACACGGCGGGAGGAGCAGGAACACCTCGAGAGCATGAGATGCTTTCCAGAGTTCTTAAAGCTTAACCACAAAGCACTGTCATTTCAATACTGAAAGCTAAGCATATTTTCAGAAGATAGCCAGAAATATTTCATTAGCACACCTTTCCCCGATAGCATTCGCTCAACAACTTGATCTACTGTTCTGGAAAAAAAACCCCACCAAATTCTTCAGGATAGTAAGAACAGCTTCATCTCAAACAGATGCAAGAAAACTATACTTTTTATGGTGCGAAACACAGTATGTTCATGTTAAGTTATGAACAGACACACATGAATGAAAATCAAAGTGTTTTCAATTGCAGTCAAAGATGCCAAACACACCATTCTGAATACACCCTTTTGCAAACAGACACAGACACAACTGTTTCCATCTTCTTGTAGAAAAAAAAAAAATGCCTCCAGGTCTTTAGTTTCAGCTACCAGCTTGCCAAATTCCACAAAGAGCTGTGACACAAACACCTGACCGCTTAAAACCGAGCTGAGGCGAAAGCCGCTTTACAAACACGTTCCTTTAAACTACGGAGACTGGGTTTATCAGCAGACTTTTACGGTACGCTCTGCTCCACCTGACACCTCTGCCATAGTCCAGCGTTACTTTCCTGGCAAAACACCCACCGGGAGGAGCGCAGCTGTACCGCTAGCTGGAGTTTTGTTAGGGCGGCTGGGCTAAAACCAGCCACGCTGGCAAAAAATAAATTAAAAAAAAAATTAAAAAAAAATAAAAAAAAAAAAAGGGATCTCGCAGCCGGACGTGCGGTAGGGCCTGCCCGCGGGACGCTTCCTCCCTCCCGGCCCCTCTTCTGCCATCGATTCCTACGAGGAAGCAGCAGCGGGAGCTCCCCACAGCTGAGGCGAAGGATGCCCCTAAGTAGCGGGGGGCGGGAGGGCCCCACTGAGGCCGTAGTCCCGGGATGGCTGCGGCTCAGCCCAGCGCCAGGGCGGCTGTAGGGACACCGCTGAGGCGGCGGCGCCTGGAGGAGGAGTCCTAGCGGGCCGAGCCCCGGGGGGGCACGGTACCTTATCGAGCAGCCCGTTCCTGCCGCCTTTGGCCGCCATCTTCTCTCTTTCCCCGTTCTTCCTCCCTAAAAATCCCCAAATCTTCTACTTCTCTACCGTCATTCATTCCATCTTTAACTTAAAAACAGTTTCGGATTGCTCCCTCAACCTGGTCTCTGGGTGGATCTGCACAAGACACTAGGCACAATACGTTCATGTAAAAATTAGGGAGACTGTTCCTACTTTTTATACTACTTTTAGCACAACGTCTTAGGCTCTTAATCAAAACCTGTATCCCCTTTTCATTTTTAACTCAGCGGCCCACTCATATTTCAGTTCTGTTCAAGAAAGTGGGATGGGATGGGATGGGATGGGATGGGAAGGGATGTGAGGGCAAGACAGGGTGTATGTGAGGAGTGGGAGTGTTTGTGGTGTCACGGGTGGGTGTATGTGTGTGCGAGTGGGGTGTGGGAGCGTGCCCACGGGTCTCTGCGTGGGGTGTGTGTGTTCTGTGGGGTGTGTGTGGGGGGTTCGTGTGGGGTGTGCATCATTGTGGGTGTCTGCCAGTGCGGGGAGCGTGTTTGTGGGTGTCCATGGGGTGTGGGAGGATGTTGTAGGTGCCCCTGCTCTGGCGGGGGAGTTGGACTAGATGATCTCCAGAGGTCCCTTCCAACCCTGACCATTCTGGGATTCTCTTCGTGTGGGGTGTGCGTCATTGTGGGTGTCTGCCAGTGTGGGGAGCGTGTGGGTGGGTGTCCATGGGGTGTGGGAGGATGTTCGTGTGGGGTGTGCGTCGTTGTGGGTGTCTGCCAGTGTGGGGAGCGTGTGTGGGGGTGTCTGTGGGGCGTGTGAGGGAGTACATGGGCGTTTGTGTGGGATGTGCATCACTGGGGGTTGTCACCAGCGTGGGGGGTATCCGTGAGTGTCCGTGGGGTGTGTGAGGGTGTTTGTGTGGTGTCAGTGTTTTGGGGTGTTAAGGGCGTGGGCTGTGTGTTTCGGAGGTGTAGTGAGGAGCATGTGGGGGTGTTTATGTGTTGGGTGTGTGCACGGGATGTATATGTGTGTCTGGGGTGTGTGAGTGTGTTCATGGGTGTTTTTGTGGGGGTGTGTATCAGTGTGTGAGGGTGTTCGTGGGTAGTGGGGGTCTATGGGTGCGTGTTGGGGAGTGTAATTACAGGGTACGTGTTGGATGCATGAGTGTATGGGCTCACGTGTCAGCACGTATCCAAAACGTGGGGCTGTGTGTATGGCGTGTGTGTGGGTGTTCATACGTATGTGTGTATATGTGCGGTGGTTGAATGTGTCGGCGTAGGGGAACAGGTCCGGGGGGTGTCAGGAGTGAGGGCGGTGTGTCTTCACTATGGGGTGTGCGTGTGTGGAGGGCTTGTATGCATAAGTGTAGATGTTGGGCTCTGCGTATGTGTCAGAGCATGTACCAGGGCGTGCAGGTGTGTGCCCCGGCTGGTGTCCTGGTGTACCCCATGCTGCTGCCATCTCGGTGGTGCCAGCGTCAGTGTCATGCTGAGCATCGCTGCACGGTGGTGAAGCAGCATCTTGCCTGGCTGGTGCCGGTGACAACGTTGCACACAGCTGCCCTCCTGCTTATATCGGTTCATGAACACAGAGTGTGCGCTTGTTGCAGGGGAGAGTTACCCCCAATACCGACACCATGTGTGAACACCATAGTCCAATGCTGCCGTACTATATCAGAGTGGTGTCCGTGTGTGGAGACACCATCAGATGGCACTGGGAGACCATCTCCTGCTACAGGGGCATGGGATGAGAGCCATGCAGCGCCTTTGAAGTTTATTTCCGAGGTTTGGGGAGTGGTGACTGATGTGGTTCTTCTCCCAGAGCCTCCATAAGTGACAAGGGAAAGGAGTCAGGGGAAGGAAGAATGAGGGGTAAAGCATAAATCTTGTGAGTCATTGTCCACACATTCTGACTCATGCACGTGCTGGTGCCTGCATTTTGTTATCTTGAGCTGGAAAATAATCCGCGTACTCCTGTCACCTCATTTACTTCTCCGTTTCAGGAGGTGATGCTCCTCATGTGTCCCTGATAGTGTTCCTTTGCCTACAGGCTGACGCTTCATTTGTGGCTACCCTTGGGAAGAGCTCTTTAAAGCAAAGTAATGTTAGAGCCAATGAAAATTTTAACTCTTTTATTTGTTTCCTGCTCTCCTCAGGAACGCTGCTGTCAAGATGCCTACAACAGGAGTGTATAAAATGGGTGATGAAAGCAACTATGGAACTAACTGCTTCCCTGCCAGGAACATTTTACGTGCAAGTAAAGAAGGTGACACTTCTCTGAGTGCTGCTGGCGAAGTCGCCCTGCAGAATAATGTCGTGTCCATACGGGCAGGTCCACCCTGTTGTTGGGCCAGATAGAGGGTACATTCAGCTGTGGTTTCCTGTATCAACATCCCAGCTGATAACACAGATAACAGGTGATAACTGAACTTAGAATGGTGCCCAGAAGGTTTTAACATTGTTTAAAACTTCATTGAAATGAAGAGGGCAGTATGTCTAGGGTATCCATTAAATGAGGGCTCTAGCAGGCATCTCCACAGGATGGCAGGACGGAAGCTTCATGCAGACAGATAGCACAGCGTGGTTGTCCAGCAGCTATTCTGAGCTACAGCTTCTTTTTCTCTGTGCTTGGAGAGTCACATCTATGAAATGCTTAGAAATGGCAGAAATGTCTTCTAACATATGAGAAGTGGTGGAGAGGTCTGCTAGGCTGGTCAGGGTTCTGGAGCACAGGACATTCTAGGAGACGTTGAGGGTGCTGAGCTTTTTTTTTATTTATTTTTTATCTAGCCAAGAGGAGTCCAGGGGGAGATTGTGTCTTACAGCTACCTGAAGGACAACTACAAACTCCTAACAGTGGCAGATGGCTTAACTAAGCCAAAAATTTCACCTTGTGGGATTTAGGTTGGATGTTAGGAGAAACTTCTTCACTGGGAGGAGGTGCAGCTCTGGGCCAGGTTACCCTGGGAGGTGGTGGAATCACTAGACAAAGCCACAACTGACTGATCTAATGTTGCTGATGGTCCTACTTTGGGTGGGAGGTTGGACTGGAAACCTCCAGAAGTGTCTTCCAGGCCATGTTTCCATGTCTGCAACCTATGGCTCTATTACCATCTCTGAAGCAGCATGTTTCTCCTCTTCCATGGCTCTAGCTGTAGCTTTAATGTTCCTACCTTAAATTTATGGTCACTGAACATTTTATACTCCTGTATTTCTTCATATAGGAGATTTTAAAATGATGGATTTCGGTGTTGGGTTGAAACACCAGGTAGAGTGCAGTTAATTTGAGAGGGGCATGTTTGGAGGGTTGCGTGCTCACCATACCATCTCCTCTGCCTTGGTCCATCTTTGTGCCAGGGTCTGGGCGCTGGATGCTGGCACACAGAGCTACCCCAAGGACTTGGACTGAGAAGGGGACCACCAGGAAGACACCACAGCAGAGGAGAAAGCCCCCAGAGTCTGCCTCTGTGGAAGAAAATAATGAAGGCAATGTCTTAGATGAGCTATTTCTGGTGAGCGCATATTTCCTCCGTTATTGCGGGAGATCCTGCTAGTGGTCAGACTCTGTAGCTCCCTCTCCCTCCCCGTCTCCATGCCACATTCTCCCCTCTTCCCATGACTCAAGGCACCAGGTGCCCCCCTCACCGGAGGGCAGTTGAGGTCTGGTTTTGGGGCTCAGGTCCCAGGACATTACATACAGGATTGTTGTAGGACTAATCATTTGTGGTTTTGCATTTTTTTTTTTTCCCCTCCAGATGAAGCACCACCGTTTGAAGAACCCCTCAGACCTGTGTTCTGTGAACATAAGCAGCCAAAATCTGGTCTCTGTGAGTATCAGAGACTCAAGAACAACCAGGGAACTGCTTTAAAAGTTGAAAAATGTACCCCATCAGCATATGAGTGTCTAGAGATCAGAGAAAACACATGTTAAATGCAGGTATATTCCTTGCACAGGAAGGTGATCCAGCCAGCTGTGGACAGGCTTGGATGATTTCACCTCCAAACTTTTGGATCATGTCTTCATAACCAAATGAACTTGGTCTTTATCAGGCATAGCCCCTTCCCCACTTACATCCCCTCACAAAATGCTGTTCTTTGGGTTCAGGAACTTTTAGCTCAACTATGATAGGATTTTAGCTTCAGGTTGAGAAGTGACTTTTATTTGGCTTCATGACTAACTTGCGATGCAAAGAGAAAATGAGCTGAGGTGCTGGTAGGTTTTTAGTGTCTTTTTAGGGTTCCCTCCTGGTGCTTTGAAGTACAGATGTGCTAAATTGCAGGGTGACTACGTTTGCCGAGTCACGTGTATGTGTGAGAGAGAGCCCAGGATCCCTGTGACACGCAGGGGAGCAAGGTCAGCAGTGAGGATGCAGAGGGGGCTTTACTTTCAACTAGTCCAGGTCTTCTGAATGTTGGTCACTGAGGCAGCTGCGTGTTAAACGCATACTCAGAGGGGTGCTCTCCATAGTTGGAAAAATAAATGAAGACCTAATTATGGGAAATGCTATGATTTAGGCATTCTGAGAAAAGGAGAGATCCAGTTGTTTCAGATCAGTTTAGAGCTGGAGTGGAATGATTTTTTTCTGTATTTTTTCAGGCTAAAGAAGATGATTTTGAGAAATTTGATTGTCTTGCTTTTATAAATGCTGCTGAGAACCTGCTGACATTAGGTAAGGGATTGCATTACCAAAAAAATAGATGCTGCTTTTCAACCCAGGGAAGCTTATGCTTGTCTGAACAAAGGTCTAGAGCTTTACAAAGAGGTTTAAGATACACATAACAGCACTTTTATTTTGCAGAACTGCTTTCTTCCTGTTATTGAGCTGAAATCCTTGCACTAATTCCCTTTATACTAACGATAATTGTGTGCCACTGTGGTACCCTTTTCATTATTAGAAAACAAAGCTCTTCACAAAGAAAATCCCCATTTGGTATATAGAAGCACAGAATAATGAAACGACTTGTCCCAAAGGCTCAGAAGGTTAATGGTGGAGCTGAGAGGTGAATCCAAATCCAGTGTCATGGGCTCAGTTAATTTGAAGAAGAAAAAAGGAGATCCGTTTATAACTAGTAAATCATAGAAACTAAACGTGCCATCAGTGCCTTCAAGCAATAATCCAATTTGGGGTGGGAGCAAATGCATGAAAGCAAACCAGATGTCTAAGGAGTAGGCTGGTAGGTGTCATGTTTTGTAGGGACAAATGTCTAACTGAGCTGGCATTTTCTTTCAAACATGTCCACTGACAATACTAGTGCTGCTTGTTCTTGCTGATTTTGGTCCATTCCAGAGCAAGATAAGACATGGTTTTTTTTCTTTTACTGCTGTTCCTCACTCGCTGAAGCATTTTCCACCCTTGCAGAACCATTTCGGAAGTTTCCAGGACTGCGGGAACTGGAACTTTCCTTGAACGGACTAAGAAATCTGAAAATCACCGCTGGAGATTTCTTGCATTTGGAAGTAAGATGAGAGGGATCTGAGACCTTATTCATCTCCTCCCAACCATCACACTGAAGCCTACACATAGCATTGATGCGTGTCTCTGCAGTGTGAGTTCTCTGAAACTGCAGGGTCATTTTCTCTTCCTGCTTGCTTGTGACTCCAGGATGTCCTTTCCACTGTGCCCTTCAAGGACCTTCACATCTTGCTTCCTCCCGCAGAGCAATCCCTCACAGATCCCCATTGCTCAGCCCCTTGCCACAGGACTCCTTGTTTCCCACGTGATGGGCTACCCCCTTTGCTGTGGGATCCTCTCCCTGCAGTCTGCCAGTCATTTGTGTCATCCCTCACCTCCCTGATGCTGTGTGATCCCCTGCAGATTCCCACCCTCCTCCGCACTATGCTCTACCTCTCTAAGTCCCATCCTCTTCCTCTCTAAATAGGTGTCTGCAGTTTCTCCAACTTATGGGCTGCCTTTATAACACAGCAAAAGAGTTAGTTTGTTTTCTTCTTTAAAAAAGAGACAAAGTGGATCCTAAGAACAAGCAACTGTGCCTGGGATGATGTCTGTAGTTGTCCTCTCTGTTCAGCTTGGAGTGTGTCTCTACTACAGATAGCTCAGGCTCTGGCTTAGCTGTACTGACCTTATCTAGGCTTGCTCTCTTTGAAGAGGTGTCCTTGCTTGGATTTCTCTCTGTCACTGGACAGATGGTTTCTAATTGCTGCTGGATATAAAGCTTTGTCTTAAAAGGCTTCTTGCTTCTTGTCTCATGCAAAGAATTTTTGGTGGCTCAGCTATCAGCTCCGTATGCTCAGATCCTGGCCTCCCTCCTGCCTGCAGGCTTTGGAAGGTTCCCAAATCCATGAAGCTTTCCTGTGCTTCTCCCATGCACTGTTGGTAACCTGCTCAGGGTTTGACTCAGTTAACACGTGCCCAGGTGATGGGGAACCAAATTTCCAAGGCTCATGAGGCCAGGGTTGATCCTGTCTGTCCCTGTGTGCCTCCGTGTGAGCACCCCTGTCACTGGCATCAGCTATGAAAGGTGGGGATGGGACCCACCTAAATTCCCCTTCCTGTCATGCTCCTGTGCTTCATCCTTGACCAGTGTCCAGGATCTCATTTGCTGACAGCCTGGAGAAATCAGCCCTGGAACGCTGATTGGAAATTCATATTAAATTGCTTTCTAAAGTGCTGTAAGCTCCTCCTGGGGAAATGCAGCCTATTGTAGTACCCCAGCAAAACTATTAATGTTCATGTATCCTAGGAACCCTCATCCTTTCCCCCAGCAGGGTCTGCTCCCTGGCTTTCTCATGGCTGTTGTCCCGTGAGTCACACGTGTGAGTCGGGGACCAGCCCTGAGCACTTCTGCCAAGGTGCAGAGTCCCACCGCTGTAAGTGAAGTCCCTGCAAGTCAGAGATGCTCACAGCATCACTCTAGGGCGGGTGGTAGCATGACTGAAAGTCTCCTGTAAATATTTAATATCTAACTGAGGAAAGCCAACAGAGGAAAGCCAACAGAGATTGTTCTTTGCTCCAGGGGTTTGTTTCTTCTGTTTCCTTCAGGATCTGGATCTCTCCTACAATAACTTGTCCCCCCAGGACATTTGGACATTGGGAGATTTGTCCCAGCTCAAAGTCCTTCGCTTAACGGCCAACGGGCTTCGATCCCTGCCTCCGGACCTGGCAGGCTCGTGGGAGTAAGTGCACACAGCAAGCGATGCTTTGGTTTGGTGGGGAGCTGCCGGTGTGCGGGTGGGATGTGCCAGGTGGGCAGGCAGGGTGATGGAGCGGTGGAGCTGGCAAGGCAGTGGCGATGGTTTTATCAGCCCGGGCAGCAGAGCTCTTCCCGTGCAAACTGGAAGACCAAATAACCTGATGGTGGCAGGGAAGTGTTATCCCAGCTCAGTCCCAGATCACCTAGGGTATCTGCTGTCATCAGCAGCTAGAGAGGAACCTCTGGACAGTGATTCAGCAGCCCTGTCGGGTGGCCAAGCCACGTGATGGTGGCTATTTATTCGTCATTAATTAGACCCTTCACGTATAGCTTAGCCACAGTCGCCATGCCAAGGTATCTACCATTTGCCATTGTTGGAGATAAGATGCTGAGCTAGATGGTCATTTGGACTGATTCAATTTAGCTGCTTTGAGGTTGGATATCAGTTTTCTATTAAAAGAATGAAAACAGCCCCAGCTCAGTCTCCTGGTGGATATATCTTCCCCTGGTGACAGCAAATGATGTGTTTTTTAACCTGTCTTTGCTTAAGCCTGTTATTAATGAGCCTTTTCGTATCCGTAGCTCTGCCCATTTAAGGTTTCCATCTCTGGAGGTCTTGTTGCTGGATGACAATCGTCTGTCAGACCCGAGCGTCTTTGTGAGCCTGTCTCATCTCTGCAGGTAAGGAAGCACCTGGCAGCAGACGGCTCTGGCTTTTAGGGGCTGGCAGCTGCCTCCGTCAGCTGTTGCACAGTAGCAGGCTTAAAATGAAAAACAAAATCTTTGTGATTCACTTGGCTATGTCCCTGTTTAGTCTCTCTAGTATTGCAAATGGGACTGAACGGAAGCAAACAGCCTGCTGCAAAGCACAAGCTGGCCAAACCTGGCAGGTGGTTGGTAATTCAGTTCCTGCCCTGGGTGTTTGCTGATCTCCAGGTCTGATTTCAGAAATGGCAGTTGCTTTCTCCATTTTCCTTTCTTCAGCCCAGATTCATCCTTTATTTCAGTGCAGCAGCACTAGGAAAGGCTGCGGATCAGCTCCCTCTATTTAATGTGGGCTTTTGTGTTTCAGCCACAGAAGTCACCAGGAGTGGGGGCTGTTCACACGCCCCCCAAGTGGGCTGTGCTGGGTTTGGGGACAGTGCAGAGACCTTCTGATGTCCCTCAGGTGCCTCCCTCCAGCGCTGCAAACTGGAAGTGGGTATCTGGTCTGGCTTGTTGCCCTGGCTTTGCCAAGACATTCCTGGAGGAAGCTGCACGTTGTGCTCATTGTGAGAGAGGAGGGGGAGTGGGTGAAGTTTAGGCATGAGACTGCAGGGCTGGAGTGCAGAGATTTGGGTTTCTACTCTTCCCTAAGCTGTCTCATGGCCTTGGGCAAGTGTGTTGGTGATGTTGTACTTCCGTGGGAAGATGGAACATTTTTAGGGAATCCCAGTTAGGACTGCAGCTCATCAGAGCCCTGGGTGATTTAATGAACTGCCAGGATGTCTCTTTGTCTGTTAAATTCTCATCCAAAGGTGAACTTAGAGCTAGGTGACACTTGGGCTGGTGTGGGGGACCAAAGTCACGGGTTTCAGGGGCAGCGCTGCGCTGTGCCAAGAACTGAACCTGTGGTTGGGGTTTGGAGAGGAGGGGAAATGGGGCAGGGAGATGTGGGTGTCACAGATGCCTCCACACTGCTGCTGCGAAGCTCAGCGAGGAGGCAGGTCAAGGGCCAGGGCCCTGCCCTGTGGGCGCTAGGGTGAACAGATGGCCGGGTGGATACACAGATGGAAATAATGGAGTTTTTCACACATTTCCTCTTCCGTCCCCTACCTGCACCAAGCAGAGAGCCAGCAGTTCTTTCTCCACCCCGTGCTGGATGGTGACAGCTTCAGAGCAGAGTGCTACAAGTCCCTGAGCAGCCTCTGGCAGCGGCCCCGGCCACCGCAGCAGGAGGACATGGAGGTGCCAGCAGAGCTGGAAGAGAAGAAAGGACAGCTTGAGTATGTCGTGCTATGGAACAACAGGGACCCAGGTAGGACGGGTGAGCAGCGCCTGCCTCTCCCTGCCCATAACTGTGGGGCTCAGTTATGTCGGGTGAGGATCTGCTGAATGTTTATTAGTGAGTGAAGCAGCCTGACAAAATTAAAACAGTGAGGGAGGGATACATAGAACCATTTTAGACATCTCAGCTAACCTGTACGGTCCCTCTGTAATTATTGGGAGCTTACTGGACATGAATCGCCCCAAAGCAGACATCTCCCATGGTTCAGGCAGAAGTGCCCCTTTCTCTCTGTTGGACTTCTCCAGGGTAGCTTAGAATCATAGAAACATAGAATCGTCTAGGTTGGAAGGGACCTTTAAGATCATCAAGTCCAACCATCAACCTAACACTGCCAAGCCCACCACTAAACCATGTCCCTCAGCACCATGTCTACACGTCTTTTAAATACCTCCAGGGATGCTGACTCCATCATTCCACTGGGCAGCCTGTTCCAATGCTTAACAACCTTTTGTGTGAAGAAATTTGTCCTAATATCCAACCTAAACCTCCCCTGGCATAACTTGAGGCTGTTTCCTCTTGTCCTGTTGTCTCTTCCTTGGGAGAAGAGACTGTCACCCCTCCCCCCCTACTACCCTCTCCTTTCAGGGAGCTGTAGAGAGCGAGAAGGTCTCCCCTCAGCCTCCTTTTCTCCAGGCTGAACACCCCCAGTTCCCTCAGCCGCTCCTCATCAGATGTGTGCTCCAGACCCCTCACCAGCTCTGTTGCCCTTCTCTGGACATGCTCCAGCCCCTCAATGTCCTTCTTGTAGTGAGGGGCCCAAAACTGAACACAGTGCTCGAGGTGAGGCCTCACCAGTGTTTGCTCCAAAGGAGACATTGCGTGCTGGCTGGGAGGAAAACTGGCAAAAACAGGGAAAAAAATCAGGTTAGGAAGTAGATTACCGTGGATCCAGGACAGGCAGATGGCAGGAAGGTTGTGTGAGTAGGTAGCACATGCACAGGTCTGCATTCCTGGGGTAGGTCATCTCTCCCCTCTGGATGTCCTTACCCAAGTGTGATGCATACACCATGCTGGGCCTCACAATGTGATGGATCCAGAAACCGCCTGGTGTCTCCTGTGTGGACTGGACTGTGACAGCAGCTGCTGGTGGGGCTTCTCCAAGCACTTCTGTCCCCTGGCTCGCTGCAGCAGTCCCTTTTGTTAGGTATTTGTGGAGCAGGCAATGGTGCAACTTCTGGTCCTGGCCCAGTGGTAGCAGGATGATGTGGGAAACGCCTTGTGCTCAGGGCAAGACTCCAAACCAAAATCTACCTGCGGGAAGCTCCTGGCTGCCCTGAGACCAGTAGCAGGGTTTCTGCTGTATTCAGGGATGTGATCCTCACCCGAGCGATGGGGCTGCCAGCAAGCCTGCTACGGTGTCACTGATCCTCCTTCACCCTGGGCACGTCTTGCCGTGGAGCCAGATCCTGCCTGATGCTAACTTGTTTTTGCAGGGTAATTCTGGCCTTGCCATGGCTGGGTCTGGCTAGTGCTCAGCTTCAGGTGCTACATACAGAAACTCTCACTTGGCTTGTGTTTCATTTCAGAGGTCATTTTTAATTCTGGCTCTCAGGAACGCCCGCTGCCGGTAAGAATCATTGGCTGATGTGTAGTTTGGGGTGTGAGCTCCAAAACTTCCCTTCCCCAAACCTCTCAGTTGAGTTTCAATACGCCCGTGGGTATGGCTGAGACTCTGGGTGCCTGCAAGGCTTGCAGTGAGTATCGTCTCTCATCAGAGAGATCAGGAGCAAATTTTCCCATAACCAAGGCACACCTGAGCTTAAACTTGTATCACTTTCAAATAAAACCATTTGCTCATGAGTTTGCCCTCCCTTCCATGGGGAAGTGTGTTCTGCGGCTCAGGTGGGGACTGAGGCTCAGGAGCTGAGATCTTATTCATTCTTAGCCCTGTAATCTTTCTCCCCAGCTGTATTTACATGATGCTCTTCAGAATCAGGTGTTTGAAGCCAAAGACCCTGATTTTTATTAGAACTTCAGAGATGCTGAGCGCTCGCAGCATGTTCTAGCCTAACACACGTGTGCATACGCACACTCCCCAAGAGCACAGGCTCCTCCTGAGCCTATGCACATTTTCAGGGCTGGATGATGGAGCTTGGTGCATTTGACATGATTCTCTGCAGGTCTCCCACAGTAACGCAGAGGCCAAAGCAAGCTGCCACAAGACAACCTCCAAAGAGGGTCTGAACTAAAAAGCTCTTCAAATTATAGCTGTGTTTGGGCTCAGGAGGGTGGTATCCTGCCACTGGGTGTGTCTTCTGCCACCAGAGCCTCTGGAGCAGTGTCTCTACTCACCCTCTTCCTCCTCTCTTTAAGGTTAATCCCAGGGAAGGAGATCTGTCTGCCTCTAAGACTCTGCCAGCTCCCTCCATGCGCAGGGACGTTTGTGCCCCCTTTCCTGAGCTGAAGTGTCTCAGCCTGGCCTTCAACAAGGTGATTTGGGTCCTGTGGCTCCAGATAAGTGTAAAGATTCAGCTGCTTGAGCCCAGCCTTAGTTCCCTGGGAGACACCCTTGGTCTTTAGCTGCCACTGCAGAAGGGCACAGGTCTCCCAGGCTCCTGTGTCCATCTGCCAGCTCATGGGGATGTGTCAGATATCCAGGATCTCTTGGGTGAAACAGGACACCTATTCAGGCAGCTGACTTGCACCCAGCTTGTCTAAACCCCTGCATATTCAGGAATTTCATCAGAGAATGTATGAAGTATTGCCTTTCCCCTCGACTGATCCTTTGCTGGAGCTGCCCACTGGATGGTTATGTCTCATCAAGGACTTTGCTGGTTTAGTGCCAGGTTATACCTGTCTGCCGAGCCACAGTGTGCCCCAATGGACAAGTAACACAGAACAACATTTAAGCTCCTCTTCCTGGTGCTTTTGGCTCCTGCCCAGGCCTTAACTCACGCTGCTCCCCAGCCGAGTGAGCTGGCAGTGCTGACTTACCTCTGCTCAGTGAGGCACATCCCCCTGGGACGTGATGGGGCGGCTCTGCTCTCTTGCAAAGCGAGCTCTGCTGCCGTTCCCCATGTGTCATCACCCTGTTTTAGGTCACTGCCTTGTTAGTGAGGTGGTTTCTGGCTGTGGTGCCCTGGCCAGGCTGTGGTTTAGACTGCAGGGTGGAGAGGCAGGACTTTTTTCCTGCTCAGAAGAGCTGCAGCTGCTGCCCTGGGCTGCAGAAAAAAAGTCCTGCCTCTCTACCTTACAGCTCTTCTGAGTGTTAGAGGCATGAGTCCTCTGACTGCAGCAGCCAGGCGGGAAAGAGGAGCGCTGCTTCTGCCCTCAACCCTCGCAGGCAGCAGAGCTGCTGGGCATTGCTGGTTAAGGGATGCCATCTCCCTCCTCTTCCTTCCCACTGCATCTACCTGCCCCGTGCAAAGGTCCCCACGCATCTGAGGAACACATTTTGATGGGAGGGTTGGGATAAAATTCTACAGCCTCCAGCATGACTCGATGCTTAAAGTTAACAGTAAACTATCTTATCTTGCAGATCGCAGATGAGACAGCTCTCTTACCAGTGGCTTTCTTCCCGTGCCTGAAGGAGCTGATGTTTCACAACAACCCACTTACCACCACTCGGAGCGGTACAATATGAGCCTGGCTCCACAGGGGTACTCTGCTTTGTCCCTCCTTCACTGTTAGCTCTCTGGGACAGGGACAACGTGTCCTCTCAGTGTTCAGAAACTCCTGCCATGATGGCCCTGGCCCCCAAGGAGATGCATTAACCATTTCTGCTCTCTTAAGAGCAACGCAGATGAGCACTGCTCTTGCAAACACTGTTAACGCCCTGCTGCTGCTCCCAGCCTCATTGAAGTCCGTAACAGCCCATCCGTGACTGTGGCAGTGCAGTCTCAGGTTAAATTTTGCTCTCCAAATGGTGTTTATCCCACAAAGGGCTTGTCTGAAGCTGGTCCAGGTTTCCTCCTGCCAGCCGCTCTCTGAGCAGGGGGGATAAGCCCCAAAGGTGCCCATGAACTCGATAGGCAATGTTTGAAGGTAGCCAGAAGGATGCTGATGAAACGTTGCAATGGTGTTGCTCCCTGAACAAGCTATGTGTAGACTAGTAAATAAGAGAGGTCAGGACTGGTCCTCTGGCCTTGGTGGCACGTAGCCCAGTCTGCTGTGTGTCCTTAGGGATAAAGCATCTCCCTACAAAACAGGGTGGCTTCTACTCAGGTCCCTGGGTGGTGCCATGCTCTGAGCTGAGCCTGGGATTAGTTGGCACAGGCCAGAGTGTGCTGCCGGTGAAGGAGCGGGCCATGGGCTCTCTACTAGCTGCTCACAGCTCTGGTGAACCTTTGCTCTTCCAGGGCAGCTGCCTCTGCTGACCCAGCTGCTCCAGCACAGTCTGGGGATTAAACTTGTCCGACAGAAGAACCTAGCCGTGAAGAGGCAGCGCCTCTCTATCCCTCTCAAAGCCAACCGCAAGGTACGGAGGGATTTGCCTCCGGAGCTCAGGATTTCTCCTGCCTAAGGCAGGGATGAAACCCTTGCCGCAATACTCAGGGCAGGATTGCCCAGGAACTGATTGCTGGGGAGCATGGGAAGACCTGGTGGGACACATGGGATCCCAGCGGGGTTGGAAGGATGGAGGGAAGGGTGGGAAGGATCAGAGGTATTTTGCTCAAGATGAGGCTGGGAAGTCCAACCACCCCCTTAATTGCTGCCCCAAGCAGGATTTGTCACTGGGTTTTTGGGTTCAGTCCTGCCCATCAGCCATGAGTGAGGGATCCTATTATAGGACTGAAGATGCTGCCAGCGTGTCCCTGGAGCTGGGGCTGCCCTGGCACTCCCTGTCCCACAAGGATCAGCCTCCAGCTGCCGGACCTGACCCCACGCTGACACTCATGGCAGTGTGCATGGACATCCATTGCATTCCCCGCAGGTCACGTCACATCTCCCCAAAGTCACGAAGCGGCCATTGATGCTGGAAGCTCCCGCCAAGGCCTTTCTGTGGAAACAGCTCCCAGCGGTGGAGGAGGCTGCGAGAGATGCTGCATATCTGAGTCTGGCCCATCCGCTGCCCCCCATCAGCTCTGCAACCCCAGCCAGCAGCTGGCGGACGGCACTGGAGGAAGGGGAAGGCAACTCCAGGCCTCCTCCTGGCTCCGCTGAGGAGGACATTCCATCCTTCTTCATGACGCAGGTGAGGCCGGGCTGTGTAAGTGTTCAGGACTGCAGGGCTTGACCAGAAATGGTCCATAGATGAATCCTCGTTTCCTAAGTGAATGAACCGTGTAGACGTGCTGTGGGCACCAGTGGTTATAACCCTCCTTTGAGTGCAAGGGGTTTAAAGAAGGAAGCACTAGCAAGAAGCATAAATGCAACGTTGTGACCAAGAACAAGAATTGGTGGCCTGTTTCGTAGGGTGGCACAGGGCTGTGCTGGTTTAGTGGGTAGCCCCAACTGCAGGAGCTCATCATCCAGCATCGTCCCTGCAGCATCTGGTGGAAAACTCCCTCCTAGAGTTCATCAGGGCACCTTTTTGACTTGATTTCCCTGAGAATCTTGGGATTATCACGGAAAGAAACCAGTCTGCACTGGGATGGGGATGGACCCTCTCTCTCTTGTGACCAGTTCTGCTGAGCACAGATGGGATGAGGTGGTGGCATCAGTGCAACCAGGAGAGACCTCTGGCCACAGCAGGACATGCTCTGCCTGACTCCATCAGCTTGACTGTTAAAAAAGGGCTGCTGTGAACTCCCTTATTTTACTGCTTTGAGGTGGAGGATGAGTCCAGACCCCTGCTGAGACCTGCGGCAGAGGGCAGGCTGGAGAAGAGCAGTGAGCAGAGGCCAGAAGGAAGCTCCCAGGTGGTTCCAGAACAATACAAAGGCTATGAGGAGCTGCTTCGTGGAGACACAGACCCAGATTTGATGGAGCCAGTTGGTGAGTGAAGGTAGCAGAGGGCTCCTGCTTCGAAAAGCCTTGGCAAGTTGATGAGCACTATGGTCCGCTTTGACCAAGAAAGCAGCAGCAAAGTCTTTTGTTGTCCCATTTTCCCTCTGGTTCACAGCAATACAGAAGAACATGCAGCCGCTGTACTACATCCTGACCCCCTCCCTTGTTTACCAGGATGCCAAACCACGACTGGACATTGTGCAGAAGCCGTATGTCCCTCAGAAAAAGGTAAAGAGCCGAAGCTCTGAAGGGAGACCGGTTGTGTCTGTATCTGGATCAACCCATGTGTTTGGATGGATGCTGAGATCTGGAGTATGGGCTTGGCTTACCTCTGCTCAAGCCTTCTCCTTGCAGCATGGGAGGATGCCCAGCCCTCCTGCCCGAAAGACAAAATCAGAGGTCCTGGAAGGAATCCTGATGGCCATGAGAAACACCTCGACCATCACGGAAGTACCATTGGGTATGTTCCTGCATTCCCAGTCTCTCCCGTTGATGGCACTGCAGAGGCAGGGGCAGGATCCGAACGTAAAGGTGTCCTTGAGCTGTGTGGGCCCTGTGGTGCAGCCAAGCTAGGAATGAGGGTCCTTCCCTTTGCAGCAGCCTCCCCTCATGTCCCTGCGGAGAGGACAAGGGCTTCGCCCACTGAATGCCCTCAGCCCACCACGAGGTTGGACCCCGATGCTCTAGCTACTGGTTAAGAGAGGGGTAAATGCAACGCAGCCACTGCTGGGGTCCCTTGGATCCACAGCTGGATTAACTCCACCCCAAATCCAGCTGGTGGGAGAACAGCCTTGGAGTAAAAGTGGTTTTGCCCCCGAGATGAAACAGGGCTGGGGTCTCCAAGCGCTGACCATGTTTTATCTCCATCCCAGCCCCAATGCTGGTTCAATCCTGAACTGTTAGTACAAGCACCAGTACTCCCCGGTGCTTTTGCTTTTCCCTACGCTGACCAGGAAAGAGCAGAGGAAGAGAGACAAAAAATTAAGGCACTTTCTGCCACCTACAGTAAGAGCCACTGCCCAGACTTGAACCCAGCACATCTGTCTTCACTCTTGGGTTACTCAAGACCAGCGGTGCCTCTACTTTTGGGGCTCCCGTGTTTTGTGTGGGCACCAGGATAGAGCTGGATCCCAGCAGCCACCTTTGTGCCTCTGCCACAGTGACATGCCCTGTGCTGCAGGGACAGGAGAAAACTGGGGCTGCCGGTAGGCAGAAGCATGGGAGGGAAGCTGAAATACTGTAGCCAAGGACCCGTCCCATCGCTCTGCTCACACCCCTGGCCTTTTCCAGCATCTGTTTTGCAAAAGAGGAAATCCAACCCCAGAGCATACCGGGAGGCACGGAGGCTGATGGAGGAATTCCAGGAGGTGTTTGAGATCCTCCCTGCAACCCTTGGCAAGGAGATGGCCAAGCTGTCGGATGAGGCACACGTGGTAGAAGCCCTTCTCATGGAGGCAACATCTGAGCAGGGGAACCCTGAGCAGCTACAGCTGCCAGGGAAGACAGCGGCCAAGAAGATGCCCAAAGTTTAGTCCATAATATAGCCAGGGGTTGAATAAAGCATCCCACACTTTGGTTCTCTTGGATAAAATGTGTATTATTTTGTAACTTGTTTGGAGCCATTTTTCCCCTCCTGAGGTTGAAAAATCCAGTGCAGTGACAAGATTCATCTCAGGCTCTCAGGCAGCGACTTCCAGCCTGAAAGCACCGATACTGCCACAACGCTGCCATGGCAGCACATGAAAACCACCTCTGCTCCCTGTTGTGCTCTGCAGTTCCCGGAAAATAAGGTGTGTGCTCACCCATCCCTGCACAAAAGCTGACAGGTAAGAAAAACTGCTGCACCCTCTGGGCATTGCAGGGAGGTTTTGGCCAGCAGTGAAGAGGGCGGAGGGAGCTGTGACACCCCCCATCCCATGATGAGCCCAGCTCATGATGGGGCTCTGCCTGCACTGACCAACGGGTTGCACAAGGAGGGCTGGTGGGTGAGCAGCAACACCACTACCGTTGTGGCAAGCTAATAGGAGCTCCCCAGTGCTCTCGGCGCTCGCCTGCTGTCCCAGCATTGGTCTGTCCCGCAGCCAAGTGCTGGGGAAAATCCGTCTTGCGCCGGGGCAGCGCTGCCAGCGCTGCTCGTGGCAGCTCTCAGCACAGAGTCCCAGACTGCTGCAGGTACGTGCTCGACCAGCCAGACCTGAGTGTGCTCAGGGAGCAAAACTGGGCACAAAACAGTTATTAAAAACCCCAATCCATCACCTGGTCTGGCATCCATACGTGGCAGCTCTCAGCACAGAGCCCCAGCCTGCTGCAGGTACGTGCCCGACCAGCCAGACCTGAGTGTGCTCAGGGAGCAAAACTGTGCACAAAACAGTTATTAAAACCCCAAATCCATCCCCTGGTCTAGCATCCATAAAAACAGCTGCGTTAGTGCAACTGGAGGGGTTGGGACAAGCGATGGGGAGCGATGGGAGGATGCTCACTCCCCACTGGCTGCTTACCTACATGAAAAATATGTCATTATACTCACCTTCTCTGATTTTTTTTTTTTTTTTTTCCCTGCAAAACATTACTCAACAACCTCAGTCAGCCAGGGGCAACTGTAACCTGTTCAGGATAGGCAGCAGTAGGATCCTGCTTGTTTTCAAGCGCAGCAACTTCAGCAAAAACAAGTAGTTCACTGTCAGAACCTGGTTTTATTCTGTTTTAACCTCGGCCTTTGTCCTGCAGTTAAAGTCCTCCTTGCTGTTAAAATGTACAAGCTATTTGTACACAGTTGGCGCATTTCTGGTTTGTGACAATTTTTTCACAAGCAGGATTTACTCTGTTCCAAATAACAGAAGCCACAACATGACAGACGCCTGCATGTCATTTTACCCACACATTTTACACATGCAAGTCAACAGTCCTTCAGTAACTTCCATCGCTTTTTAAAACATTCAGATGAAGCCACGGTGGTTCAGCTGAGACCCAAAATGACCGCAAGTCTTTCACCACCCCGGTGCTCCGCTGGCAAGCTGAGGAGAACACGAAAGCACAAGGATTTAAAGCATTATCGGGAAAAAAAGTGTAGCAACATCTAGATTTGTTTTAAACAGTTTGACAGTAAATACCAAGGAAACCAGGCATACACAAACCCCCTTTGTAACCAGCTGAAGGTTTTTCTGTTTGCATAGTGAAGAGCTAATTCTAGAGCTGATGCTTCGCGGTGTTTTACAGACACGGGGAAGAGAAACGTTTGTGTCCAACGCATGCGACACGCAGGGATCATCCCAGCTTCCGTCCTGTAGTTCAAACCGGCGTCGCGTCCCAGTTCCACCCAGCTGCCATCCATGGGGACATCCCACGGGTCTCCATCACGGTGCCACGTGAGACCATTGCATCCAACGGTCGTTAGTTTTCATCTCCGGTCCCCCAATGGGTGAGAGGGGCCGGGTTTTCGTCAAACACTTCCCCCCACGCATGGGACAAACTCCTTGTCAGCCTCTCACTGGACAACTGGGAGACGGCACAGGGCTGTTGGAGGGTCCCGGCGGAGCCCTGGGGTCTGTCCTCGGAGCATTGCTAAAGGCTTGTTTTTAAAATCAGTGATAGTCTTTAAGGCTTCAACCTCCCCCTTTGCTTTCATTGAGAAAATACAAAGAAGCGCTTGTTCAAGCTACACTTCATGACTACTGTGCACTGCATGTACAATAGCATTTGAAGAAAAATACTGACAATATAGAACAACATTATACAATCATCTCGCATGATCCCTTCTTTTGGCACTTTTCCTTCATTTATCTGATCTCACTGACTCCAAACATGGACCTTTCCATACGGCTTTTCCTGGGCAGAGAGCTCTGGAGGGTCAGAAAGCAACTTTCCAGAGTTGGTGGCATCTTTGGCAGATAGGGTCCTTCTGTCGTCAAACCAACCCCAACCACTCTAGTGCTACCAGCACTGCAATCTCTTGACCTGTTTTTTTCTCGCAAGAGAAGGCAGCTTCACATTTTGGGAGGATGCTCGCCCGCCCGCGCTGACCCACAGCCGGCAAGGACTGCCTTCATCCCGCAGAGAAGGTGGCTGCAGAAAGGAGGAGGGTTAGAAATCACTTTCATGTAAGTGTAAATAAATACTTGGTTTCATCTTAGAGCCTCTGCAGATCTTGAGCTGCATCCACCGTTCAGCAAGAGGTATTTTACTTCTCAGCTGGCATTATTTGTGGCAAAGGTAGCGTCATACCTGACCTTTAAAGAGTAGAGGCTGGGAATTCCTGCTCTTTCAAGTGTAATTATATACAATTGTGCAAGCTTACACAAACTTACAGAGTGTTAAATTAATAAAACATTAATCCTAGCTTCACGTCGCCTCAAGTCATGAACCCGACACTGCCTTGGGTGGATTTCAGCCGCGGGCAGTCGCGCTACGGCTAGCTCAGGAAGAAGGCGAGAGGGTCTAGGTGAGCCGGCTGGAAAACGGCCCATGTTTTCCCTAGTCCTTAAGCAACGAGATGGAGAAGCGAACGTAGAAACGCAGCCAGCAGCTTCATCGGACCTCACAAGAAAAGATCGACCCCACCCTGATGCTTTACTGAACGCTGCTGTGACCGCAACCCTTCAGTGACATGATTGCGATGCCACGTCCAAAGGTCTCCTTCGATGCAGATGCAATGGACTGTGCGTGATGCTTCGGGAGCCGAGCAGTGCTGCCAGGGTGCGGGTTCTCTGTTTCGGGGGGAGCCGGCTGCAAAGCCGGGGGCGCGAAGGATCCCATTAAGCTTTTTTTGGCTGGGGACAAGCCCCAGCTCAGGCATTGCCTCCTGCACTTCCGCCCAGCTCGGATTTAGAAAGAGGAAATTAAGATACAAAACCCTAAATATTTATGTAATCTTTTAAAAAGAAGATATTTAAGACACTGGCCTGGTGCATTGGGCTGCAAAATCTATTTTAAGAGGGGAAAGAAAGGATACATTCAGCACGTAAATCTATTTTTTTTGGTGTGGTGTAGGCTTGCTCAGAGAGCGCCTGGCAGCCCGAGCCTGGATGAAACCCATGCAAGCGCCGTGATAAAGAAGGAAACTGTTTAGGGAAGTCTGATTTGGGCTCAAGGGATCAACCGCAGGGAAGGGGCGGGGAGAAGGGGTCCTGTAAAAATAATTAGAAATCTAAAGGCGCTTGGGAAGTGCACACTTTAGCTCAAAATGTTGGGGGAAAAAAATGGCATGAATTCTGAGTAAAAGCTGTGGGTTTCCCTCCTGAGCTTATTTCACTGTAAAGGGCAAATCCAGGCTGTCGCTACTTCTCTCTGCGTCACTCTTCTAGGTCCAGTCAAGGCTCTAATTACTTAATTTCCTTCTAATTCACAGCTGGCTACAGGAGCAGGATTCGGTTTGGGTCAAAGGCGCCTACTTCAATCAGCACCTAACGAGGCTGCGGCACGTGAGAGGGCACGGAAAGCCATCGCCCACGAGCCGCAGCGGGTAGGCAGAGCAGGCCAGGTCTGGCCGGCCCTCGGTATGATTTTAAACATCCAGTAGTTTGTGTGTTAAGGAGATACAGAGATAGATATATATATTACGGAATCATTGCTATAAGATTTCTCAAAATGAAAGTGTCAATCTGTTGAAATATAGTATTTAAAATATATAAATTTTATCCATTAAAATAGAAGATTTCTTTTTTTTTTTTAAAAAAAATCCAGTTCAATTAGGAAAAAGCGCCAGGGTCCTTGCAGTTACGCAAGTATGCCAGGAGAGAAAAAGAAAACCAGTTTGCGGGTTTTTTTTAACCATTTAAGATGGAGGAAGAAATTCAACTGTGTTTTAGATAGAGGAATTTGGACAACAACCGTTCTCTTAGATCAGTTCCATCTGTTTAAATGCATCAGCTGTCCTCCCTTCACGCCACGGGTCACTCTAAGTTTGCCCCAGCACCGTGCTTCAGTTATGTCTTGAAAATGCAACTCGTCATCTGGCACATGGGTCAGCAAGATCATTAACGCCGCAGCCTCCACCCTGGAGGTCACTGCGGGCACAGCGGGTCCCCAGTGAATACTCTGCAAGGCAGCTTTCAAGTATGAAGTTGAGCTGATGGTTTTTGAGCCCGATTACTACAAATAATCAACAAAATTATTGTGCTGTTAATGGATGATGGGGAAGAGTGTTAGAAACATGAAGAGCCCAGAGGGTGGGCTGCCATCGAAGGCCACATCTGAACAGACAACACACGCTCCACCAAGCCCAGGCTCTGAGTCAACTCTGGTCCAGGCTGCTGTGCCCGACTTCATGCCTTTAAGGAGAAATTTTTTAGTGCGTGGCTCATCTGAGCATTCTTAGTGGTTTGAACCTGGAGACAGCTAGCTCGGAGGAGGGGCAGGGCAGGCTCGCATCGCCCCGAGCACCCGTGTCCGTATGCCCCTGGGCCGGGCAGGCTGGGTTCCCGTCCCAGCTCTCCCGCCAACCCATCGGGTGCCTGGGAGAGGATGGCGATGGTCAGACACCTCAGGATGCCTCCTTCAGCCGCTCAAGGACATGTAAGGACAGGTCTTTGTTATG